GTAAATGTTTTAAGTCCTCTTCACTTTCAGCGATCAAGGTTGTATCATCTGCATATCGCAGGTTGTTAATGAGTCTTCCTCCAATTCTGATGCCATGTTCTTCTTCGTATAATCTGACTTCTCATATTATTTGCCCAGCATACAGATTGAATACGTATGGTGAAAGGATACAACCCTGGCACACAACTTTCCTGATTTTAAACCATTCAGTGTGCCCTTGTTCTGCTCAAACAACTGCTCTTTGGTCTATGTCCAGATTCCCCATGAGGACAATTGAGTGTTCTGGAATACTCATTATTCACAGTGTTATCCATAGTTTGTTATGAGCCACACTGGAATACTAATGTTGCTGTTGCTCTTGTTGTTGTTAAGTGCTGTTGAGTCAGTTCTGACTCACGGTGACCCTGTGTAGCATTTCTGAGGAGCCGCGGACCCTGCAGTTCAAACTGACCTTGCAGTCCAGCGCATTAACCCACAGCGCCACACCAGGACTCCGTAGGTAGCTTAAACCCAATGTCTAAAATGGTACTCTTCACTTTTCCCTTCAAACCTCCCTGCCGTCTTCTCAGTAAATAGCTGCACCATTTGCCAGTGACTTCCACCATGTGGTCCATCCTCAAATCCACTGATTTTCCCACTCCATCCCTCCATCTCCCCTTCTAGACTCCAGTCTTCTCACCCAGATGACCACTCAAGTGTGGACTTCCTGCTTCTGCCCTGCCAGCTGTCTTCACCCCCCAGCTGTCACCCCACTGGGAAGATCTTTGAATGGTTCCCCACAGTGCTTAGAACAAAATGCTTTGTTGTGTGTGGGGTTATCTCAGCTCTACCTGGTCTTCCAGGCTCACCTCATGGCCCTGTCGTCCTCTTTTACTGGTCTCCCTTTAGTCCCTAACAAAATTCTCATTCTTCAGGTCTCCACTTAGCACTTCCGGAGAGTCTTTCCTTTTCTGCTCTATTTAAGTAGGATCCTCTGAGAAGTCTTCAGCTTGCTAGCATGTTTCTTTTCTTCAATTCTTACCACAATTCATGTTTATTTGTGCACATTTTAACTTGTTCTTTAAAATGCCTATTGATCCCTACCATGTGATCCTCTACCATGTGGCAGGGCTAGGGATGGGGCTGTGTCAGAGCCTGGAAAACCAGCTTACAGTCATAAATGTGGGAAAGAATGGGAAAGGACAAAAGAACAAACCATCTGCTTGAGAGAAATCGGAGTTAGAAATCATCAACTGGGTTCTCTGGAAGGAGAGCGTGTATGTGCAGATTCTTGTGCAAGCGATTCTTGGAGGGAGGGATGCAGAGCAGGGCAGTAAGAAAGGTGGTCATCACTGGAGACTGACCTCAGCTGACCCCCCCCCCACCCCCCACCCACACACACACCATCATGGGGAGCCATGGAGGGGGACCAAATTAGGACAAGGGGGCTGGACTTTCATAGCCTTGTTTTTAACTCACCCAGCGCTGTTGAGGGAAATTCTGCAGAGATGGAGGGGTACTCTGCTCGGTAAAGGGAAGCTGGTGGGGACCACTAGGATACGCCACAGAAGATGAGAGGAAAATGAACGGGTGGGATTATCAAGTGTTTGGATTTGAAAAGCGCAGGGGCCTCTGACTAGATAGGCCAGCTGAACAGGGAATTTGCTGTGTTTTCAGGTGCTAAGCTTTGCTAAAAGAGAACATTCACTTTTGAGACACCACAAGAAAGAGGTTTAAAGAAGAGGGAATTCAGGATATAATTGGTCAAGGGAGAAGAACATAGAGTGGGACCCTACCCAGAGAAGCAGTGATGCCTGAGATGGAGGCAGAGATGATGACGTGAAGAGATGGAGCAGCTGGGGACTTTAGACACAGAGAGGGAGAGGGGCTGTGTGCTGATGACTACGGGGCAGGCTTGTAGGGTATACTCTTTGGTTGGTTGATGATGCATGGAGGGGATTGGCAATGAAATGATATACAATAGGCTGAATGTAAAGCTAATGTTCTCCCCTGTAAACTATCACATAATTCACAATAAAACATATATAATTGGAAACCATTCTCAGAAACTGGCTTGTAGAATACCAACTTTCCAAGGGGAATTCATGTTTATTGTTGAAGTTTGTAAAAATCATTTTATTGTTGTTGTTCGAATTCATAGTGACCTTATGCACAACAGAACGAAACACTGGCCGGTCCTGTGCCACTGTCACAGTTACTGTTCTGCTGCCACTGTGCCAGTCCATCTCATTGGGATCTTTACCAAATGTGATGTCCTTTCCTGGCTTCTAAGGAGCATTCTTACTATACTTCCAAGTTTAAGATACAATAAAAATTGTGTGGAGAGAAATTGCAGCTGAGGACTCTAGACTCATGGAAAGAGAAAGGCTGTGTGCTGGTGGCCAGGAGGCAGACTTGCAGAATGTGCCCTTTGGTTGTTTAAATGATTAAATATATTTCTGAAGTTTTTTGTACATCAAAAAAAAGCAACCAGAATGAATAGAAGCAAATACTGTTGAATAATGATTCATGGAGGGGATTGTAATCATGGCAATGAAACAAAATATGATAGGATGAGTGTAAAACCAATGTTCTCCCATGTAAACTGTCACTCAATTCACAATAAAAACTTAATTAAAAAGGCTAAATCGTATCCTTTAGTACCCAATTCACAGACTTTTGGTATGAATTTCTTCAATGCCCTTTTTATCCAGTGCACTCTTAAGCAAAGTAAACACACATACTCGCCCCACACACTAGTTAAAGGGAGTCTTTGGGTGCTGCTGTGGGTAAATGCACCAGACTGCAAAGCTGTTTGAACTGCAAAATCAGCAGTTCAAGCTCACCAGCAGCTCCTCGGAAACCCTATACAGGGTCACTGTGGGTCGGAACTGACTCAGCGGCACTTCACATCTGCACATGTAACTTTTTGAAGACTAGAGAACTCCATCACCCTTTCTAGAATCCTCTTGCTATAATGTAGATTTCAGTCTACAGATAAAATAAAACACATTAGGAGTTTTCATGCATTTTTCAACCAAAATTGTTTTGGAGTTGCCTTCTGATGTTGTTATAAAATTATGTTGTTGGCAAGTGTCATTGAGTCAGTTCTAACTCATAGCAACCCTGTCTAGGATTTCTGAGGAACGGCTAGTGGGTTTGAACCACCGACCTGGTGCTTAGCAGTGCACAATGTGGTGAACTGCTAATCCTACAGCGCCACACCAGGATTGCCAGTAAAACATGCTTGGATTTTTGTTGTTGGTGTTGTTTGTTTTCTGTTATTTTAACTCCAACACCCAGATATCTGTATTGAAGCTAATAGGGATGAAAATGAAAGCCGTTTCATTTTTATCAAAAGACAGCAAGATTCCCTTAGATGCGGCTGGGAGTTTCTATAGAAACATGATGGGCTGAGTCTTGTTCTAGACATGCAGATCCCCCGAGATGACGTGTCTAATGCGTAGTGCATGTTGTCTTTTCCCTCTCCGCAGGCCTTGAACCGGGGTATTGCCGCTGTCAAGGAAGATGCTGTCGAAATGCTGGCCAGCTATGGGCTGGCGTACTCCCTAATGAAGTTCTTCACAGGGCCCATGAGCGACTTTAAGAACGTGGGCCTGGTGTTCGTGAACAGCAAGCGCGACAGGACCAAAGCCGTGCTGTGCATGGTGGTGGCTGGCGCCATCGCTGCTGTCTTCCACACCTTGATTGGTAAGGCTGAGCACCACCCTGGGAGCTCTGCTTACGTCTTGCCCCGTTTAACTTACTTATATATAAAAATGGGGCTTCAAACAGTCCATGGGGAAAAAACATTGTTTTGTTTTGGTTTTTATCCCATTTTCCATGAACTTTTTAAATCTACTTGTATTTATTGTAGTATGTGATGTCTTTAGTAATTATCAGCTATTCTCCACGAAGGTTTCAGAGTATGGAAGGGAAGAAGTTTGTGGTCCTCACTCAAGAAAAACAAAATCTATGTTCTTTGGAATCTGTAGCTTTGTATCTCTGTTTCCCAAACCAGGCATCAGAGCGGAAATGATTTCATTAAAAAAGTGATCATATAACGTTGTTGTTAAGTGCTGTCGAGTCGAATCCAACCCATAGCGACCCTGTATAGGGTTTCCAAGGAGCAGCTGGTGAGCTTGAACCACAAACCTTGCAGTTCAAACACTTTGCAGTCTGACACATTAGCCCACAGTGCCACACCAGAACTCCATATCTAAGATTGTTGTTGTTGTTAAGTGCCATCGAGTAGATTCTGACCCATAGCGACCCTGTATAGGGTTTCCAAGGAACAGCTGGTAAGCTTGAACTGCTGACCTTGCAGTTCAAATGGCTTTGCAGTCTGGTGCATTAACCCACATTGCCACACCAGGATTAGTGATCAGTAAAATCCAAGGAGCCCTGGTGGCACCGTGTTAAGCAGCTGGCAGCTAATCAAGGGGTCAGCAGTTCAAATCTACCAGCTGCTCTATAGTAGAAAGATGTGGCAGTCTGCCTCTATAAAAGTGCAGCTTGGAAACCCTATGGGGCAGTTCTGTTCTAGCCTACAGGAGTCAGAATCAACTCAACAGCAACAAGGGTTGGTTTTTTGGTTAAACTCCATAAAATGGCAAGTGTTTTATGGTACAGAATTCTTTAATGTGGAGAATGAAAATATGGTGATTGTTTAAAAATTAATGCTCTATAGAAGTGAGACCAGTGCACAGAAATTTTTATTTGTTAAATTTCATTTTCTATAAAAGCATTTCCAATTCATGGTAACCCCAAGTATGCAGACTACAACTACTCCCTAGGCTTTTCATGGCGACCACCTTTCAGAAGCAGATCGCCAGGCCTTTCCTCTGCAGTCCCCCTGAGTGTGAACTCAAACCACCAAAGTTTCCATCAATAGCCAAGTTCCTAACTGTGGGCACCGCCCAGCTTTTCATTTTATTCAAAGACAAGACGAAATACTCTTATTATAATACTCTGTCCATGAAACAGAAGAAGTTTTATCATACATTCAATGACTAGCCCACAGTTTCACCAAGACCTTGGAAAAGCACATTCCTGATGAGGTTGAACTACATCCGCCACCTTTATGGCAGATCAAACCCTAAGGACCTGATTTCCTTGGCATTAAAACAGCTCTCCTGACAATATGTCCAAAGTATGAGAGATGAAGTTTGGCCATCCTGGCCTCCAAGGAGTACTCTGGCTGCACTTCTTCTAACACAGATCTGTTGGTTCTTTTGGCAGCCCATGGTATTTTCAATATTCTCCTCCAACACCATTTCTCAAAAGCATCTTTGGTAAGGTGGAGGGTCAGAGAAGAAGAGGAAGACCCCCAGCAAGATGGATTGGCAAAATGGCAGCATTAGTGGGCGTGGCATCAATTGTGAGGTTGGCCCAGGACTGGGCAGTGTTTCGTTCTGTTGTGCACAGGGTCGCTATGAGTTGGTACCAACAACATGAAGAACAGCTCTGCGTACCTGCAATCAGGTACACATCCACTGAATCCAGTTGCATGATGCACCGTGAAATGCTCCACAAATCTATTGTTCTACCTTAACAATGATGTTATTGTCGTTGTTAAGTACCATCAAGACGGTTCTGACTCACAGTGACCCTGTCTGTATAAGATTTCTGAGGCTTAAAATCTTTAAGGAAGTAGAAAGCCTCATCTTTCTCCTGCAGAGCAACTGGCGGCCTCGAACTGTGGACCTTGTGGTTCGCAGTCCAGTGCTTATCATATGGAGCCACCAAGCTCCCTTAACATTGATGCTGTTTGTTATATGGAACTGTTAATGCAGCAGTCAGAAGAGCCACCCAAACCGCTGAGTGTGTACCGACGCCAGCTAATGTTTACTCACATAACTGTATGTGAATCTAAAAGCAAAAAGGGTAAGGCCTTTGTGGTTTTCCTTTTTCATGTAGCATAGAGTTTACTGCTGTGGACAGAAAGGTGTGTGCTCATAGACCAAATAACCCATGTAGGTTTTGATATTGATCCTTTCATTGTTGCTTCATGGGGTGGGGTGAGTAGGAGACACCTGCCTTTCACCTGGATTTATGCCCTGAGTAACCTAGGAACTGAGTATTTACTCTTTGGAGGAAACATAGCTGATCTTTGAAGAAAATTTCTTCAAAGCTTGATTTGATCTGGGCCACTTTCAAAGAGTGTTTATTTATTTGAGAAAATTCCATATATTTTTTTTAATAAGGGTCTTATCTCAACAGACAAGTGAATCCTACTGGTGTGGTGCTGTGTACAAATGCGTCAGACTGCAAAGCCATTTGAACTGCAAGGTCAGCAGTTCAAGCTTACCAGCTGCTCCTGGGAAAACCTATACAGGGTCACTGTGGGTCGGAACCAACTGAACTCAATGGCACCTAACAACAACTGTGTTACTATTCTTTTTATTTGGCTTCCAAATATACTTGTTGTTGTTGTTAAGTGCCGTGGAGTCGGTTCTGACTCATAGCAACCCTGCACAGGGTTTCTGAGGCTGTAAATCTTTACAGGAGCAGATGGCCTCATCTTTCTCCTACGGAACTGCTGGTAGTTTCGAACTGCTGACCTTGCGGTTCACAGCCCGATTCAAAGAGCTCCTTCCAAATATACATAGCCTTCCCTTTTTCAACTATGGTTGAATGAGACATTGAAATTAACAACTCGCTGTTGTTGTTAAGTGCCATCAAGTCAGTTCCAAGTCATAGTTACCATGTATAGGGTTTCCAAGGAGCAGCTGGTGAGTTTGAACTACCGACCTTGAGGTTCAAATGGACCTGGTAGTCGAGTGCTTATCCTACAGCGCCATACCAGGGCTCCAGTAACTAATTACCAGTTGTCAATAATGAGGAGAGAGAAGCTAAGTGATGTGCTGTCTCATTGAAATTGTACTGAGGAAATGTAATTGTTGAACTAAAATCCAGTGTTTTATAAGTTAAATCTCATTTTGAAATAATAATAATAAAATCTTAAATTTAAGCCAGTAAGGTTGTATAACACAGGTCGATATTTAAAAATTAATTTTGATCCATTTTGGTATTTTTAATCTTTATAACTTCTTTTCTTCTACAGAAATTTTTTTCTACAGTTTTTGGGAAAACGCACGTCAATTTCTTTTGAAAACAAAAAATGACATTTTAATGATTTTTTTCCTCTTCTCATTTGTTGGCATCTTTTTAATTTTCCACCTAACTCTTTAATTACTCTCTTATTTTCTGGTGTCACCTATATTGTGTGTCTTGCCCACCTCCTTCTTCCTGTTTTATTTGTCCTATAAGCTTTTCTGGGGTCCCTGGGTGTGCACGTAATTTGAATGTGACTACTAGGAGCTCTCGTAGTGTAGCGGGCTGCGAACCTCAGGGTCAGCAGTTCAAAACTACCAGCTATTCTGCAAAAGATGAGGCCTTCTGCTCCTGTAAAGATTTACAGCCTCAGAAACCCTGTACAGGGTCGCTATGAGTTGGGACCGACTCCACAACACACAACAACAACAAACAACAACAACTAAGCTAAAGGATGCCTGCTGTGGTGCTGTAGGATCAGCACTGGACTGTGAACCACAGGGTCGGCAGTTCAAACCCACCAGCTGCTCCTCGGAAACCCTACACAGGGTCTCTATGAGTCGGAACCTACCCAATGGCACTTAACAACAACAACACTAACCTGAAGGTTGACAGTTCAAACCCATCCAAGAGGTCCACGGAAGAAAGGACTGGCAATCCGTTTCCATACATATGTCAGCCAAGAAGACCTTCCGGGACAGTTGTTCTCTGTAATGCATGCCGTCAGCACCTGGCCCATTCTGTATTTTCCATCATATTAAACACATGCTCTGTGATGGGAGCATTGCTATGCATCCCCCACCTCCTTCTACCATCAAACTCGACATTCACATTCCTGCCCAACCTCTGTTAGACACTACTTAGGGACAATGACAGCAACTGCTAACACATTAACTTTAATATCAGCTCTCAGAGAACCATGCTTGTGACAGACAAAGCGATAGAGATCAAACAGAAGAGCAAATGCTCTCAGTGTATTTGTCCCGAGAAGTTTTCAGGCAGTCTTCCTCGGTGTATTTGCTTGTTGTTGGTATTGTTAAAGTGCCATTGAGTCGGTTCCGACTCATAACAACCCTGTATAGGGTTTCTGAAGAGCGGCTGCTGGGTTTGGACCGCTGACCTTGCAGTGCAAACAGACTTTGTGGTCCAGAGCTATATCCTTCAACACCACACTGATTTCTAAATAGCACCTGTTCCTAAATTAACAGCTCCCGAATGGGCCTGGAATAAATACAAAGAACCCATAGAGCAAATCCACTGGGCGAAATTCACAGAGAAATATGAGCCAGAGTAATCTAGGTTTGAAACGTCAGTGCTCTGTTCTTTTGTTCAGGCAAAACTAGTCTAATTGCCTTAACTTTTTCCCTGAGTATTTTCTCATTGCCTTCATGAATGTATTTCCTTTTATTAAGTTCTTCTCTGATTATTTGATGGCATTTCTGTAAGGCCCTGTGAGAGCAGAGAGGAGAAAAAGATGGATCCTCTGGGGAGTTTGGAACTGAGCAGTCTCGTGACACAGCTTATCTCTTAACTAGATATGAAAGGATGAGTTGCGTGTTAATGTTAATACAACCTTTTCTGATGTTTGTGTGATCTCTAATTGAAAGGGAGAATCAAGAATCTGACCCTGTGCTCTAAATCAATCGTATTGTAAC